ATTTCAGATATGGGTCCTACCGTAGCTCCGCCGTCTAAAATAAAAGCCTTTCCTCTTCAAAACTGAGTGTTCCTTCCTCTCCCTCAAGTCTTTTTCTCCCTGAAACATTTCTAATAGATAATCAATGGCAGAGTGGTGCTTACAAACTCAAGCAACCAATTTTAAGTTCATCTCCCTCTCCTTACACAATAGCAAAAGGAATAGCAAATGTGGTACAACTCACTCATTGCCATCAAGAGAATACTCATAGCTGACCCTCCAGCGGGTGTTCAGGGCTGTATATCACATGGGAGAAGACTGCTCATCTTTCTCCCATGGAGCAGCTGGTGAATTTGAACTGTTGGCCTTTTGATTGACAGCACAGCTTCCTACCCACTAGGATTTCAGAAATATGGAAGAAGACAGAGCAAGGTTTAGGGTTGTTGTACACAGGGTTGGTATGAGTCACAGGCAACTCAATGGCACAAAACAACAACAATAAGCTTTGAAGCCACAATAATCTTTAATTTAATGGGGGTGGTGGCGGGAGATAATCTATCTTACCTAGACAAAACATGACTTATCTCAAAAAAGGCAGGAATGATTTTCATTTATGTACTGACTGACCACTCCATATTATTAAATCTGTATGCTGAGCAAATTATTCAAGATGCTGGATTCTGTGAGGAGTGTGACTTCAAGATTGGAGGAAAACTCATCAATAACTTGCATTATGCAGATGACACAACCTTGCTTGCTGAAGGTGAAGAAAACTTAAAGCACTTGTTGCAGATCATGGAATGTAGCCTTCAATATAGATTTCATTTCACTGTCAAGAAAACAAAGATTCTTACCACTGAACAGATAGTCAACATCATGATGGATGGAGAAGAGACCGAAACTGTCAACAGCGTCATCTAACTTGGATCTACAGTTAACACCCTTGGTGCCAACAGTCAAGAAATCCGGAGACTGAAGTATTCAAGGTAGCTTGATTCCATGTTAGCCCAGGAGTTAGTCCATTTTTCATAAATAAATGACTTGCTTCCTCTAAGTAGGTCATTTAATGTGCTACTTGGTTGAATAGAGAAAACAAAACATAGTGTTCTGTGAAACCACAAGGCAAAAGATTTCCTGCCTCTGTAGGGAGCTGCCTGCTAGCAGAGTGTATGTGTGGGGTGTGTATTTGGTGTGTGTGTTACCCTCTCAGGATGCTATCTGCTTTTGTAAGTTGCTTTTGTTCTTTAGAGTGGAGTCAGCATGTTCCAGAACAAAGCTTAACTGTACCCACCTGTTTGCTGTGTTTTTTTAAGATTTTGGGTTTTTTTTTTCCTTTATAAGGCTTGAGTATGAAATCATTAGGGGTCAAGAGTCTTTTGTAGCATTAGCTGCTGGTTAATAAAGGACTCATAATTTAGAACTCAGTGTGTGGCACTTCATAGATCTTGAGCTGGGTATAACAGAGACATATTGCAATAGGAAAGTTTGTAGTTAGGGATCTCTCCAAATTATTGAAGAGTAATGACGCCAGTTTGAGGACAAAGGTGTGTCTGATTCAGGCCATTGTCTTTCTGATCACTTGCTATGCATTTGGGAGCTAGACAAAGAACAGGAATTACAGAATAAGAATTGATGCCTTTGAGCTTTGGTGTTGGAGAAGAGTACTGAACATACCATGGATGGCCAAAAGAATGAACAAATATGTCTTGCGGAGGGTGCAGCCGGAGTGCTTTTTGTAGGCAAGGATGACGAGGTTTCATTTCACATACTTTGGACACGTTGCCATGAGGAGCTATTCCTTGGAGAAGGACATGATGCTTGGAAGGGTGGAGGGTCAATGGAGAGGAAGAACCTCGACCAGGTAGATTGACATGGCGATTGCTGCGATGGGCTCTAGTTAGGACAGGGTTCAGATCTTCTGTTCACAGGGTTGCTATGAGTCATTCTCGACTCGATGGCAACTAACAACAACAAATGACTATTTTTCTGGAGCAGGGAGGGTGAGGGAAGTTATGTCCTATGAATGACTCTGCATGCCAAAAAACAATAGTGCAACATGTTTGCTTGCTGGAAAACAATATTCTCATCTTTCATTTGGTCTTACAGAAAGAACTGGTTATTGTTAGTGGAGCAATTGTGTCTACTTAAGCACAAAGCATAAAGCAACTAAACAGAAAGAATAATAGTAAAACAAAGTTAATTAAAAGAAGGCATAAACTAATTAATGCTGCATTAAAATACTCCTTAGAAGGGAGGATGGTGAGTCTTTGTCCCACACTCTGTGCATGTTATTAGAAGTGGTCAGTCGCTGGACAAGGACAATATGTTTTGTGAAGTGAAAAAGAGGAAGCTCTTCAGAGAGCTGGATTGACACAGTGGCTACTATTGTATAGGACTGGGCAGAGTTGCATCCTGTAAATGGGTCTTTGGGAGTCAGACACAAGCCGACTTGATGACACCTGTTAAAAACAATTGTATACCTATTAAGGGATGGACAGTCTTAATGATGCTTCTTCATTTAACTGCTGATTTCGCATGTGTACTGTTTTTATTCAAGTCATAAACTGACATATGGATTTCTCTGTATGTAAATAGTTCACACACACAAATAATGCAGAGGTATCTAAATACACAGAAACTAGTTTGAAATAGGAGTTTTTCCTTAGAAGAATTTTACCCCCATCTTTTCAACAAGTGAGTGGGTATGGCAGTGTGGGCATCTATGAAGATCTTGAAACCTACTATTTTCCAAAGCACGGAGTACAGAAATATTACTAGGAACTGTTTATTTCAAGAATATGGAGTTAAAAGCCTGAACTGAGGAGATATTTAGGATATGACCCAGTGTTTCATATAAAATGGTTCTGTAGCCATATGGGGATATATTTCCTCACTATGAGTTTTACCACTTGAAAAGAATTTTCATTTTGTCTCTTCTCCCCATTTTATAAATTGGAACTGTTGAATTCTAGATATGTCAAGGCTTCACATTTTCATATGGCTAACAGATACTTTTTTCATTCCTTTATTTGAATTTTACCCTCCCCCCAAAGTAATCACTTTGAGGACTAAGGTGTGTCATACCTAAGTCACAACCTATATTACACAGATGACACAACTTTGTTTGCTGCTGATCAAGAGCTATTGCTTTTGCTATAGACTATATCTTAATAATAAGAAAACAAAGGTCCTCACTACAGGACCAACAGTCAATGTTACGATAGATGGAGAAAGGACTGAAATAGTCAATGATTTCATCTTGCCTGGATCAATAAACAAAACCCTTGGTACCAGCAGCCAGAAAATCAGAAAATGTATCTTATTGGGAAAGTTTGCTGTAAAGTACCACTCCAAAATGCTGATTAGCGATGATGTCAGTTTGAAGACCAAGATGCACCTGATTCAGACTATGGCCTTCTCAATCACCTGCTACTCTCTTCAGAGAGCTGGATAATGAAGAAGGATGACAGAAGAAATGATGCCTTTGAGTTGTGGTGTTGTACAGTATGGAATAGCCTACAGACTGCCAAAAGAACAAACAGATGAGGCTTGGGATACGTGCAACCAGAGTACACCTTAGAAGCAAAGATGGTGAAGTTTCATTTTTCATACTTCCGATATGTAGCTAGGTGAGGCTATTCCTTGGAAAGGGACATCATGGTTGGATAGCGGGTCAATGTTGGAGAGGAAGACCCCTCCAATGAGATGGATTGAGTCAGTGACGTCAACAGTGACATATAGTGTGCCAGAGATGATGATGATGGCACAGATAGGACATGGTTTAAGTCGGCTGTTCATAGGGTTGTTAACAGTCATACTCAACTTGACAGCGCCTAACCACCACAACATACTACCAGAGAAAACTTTTTGTTTTCAGATATTTTTCAATAAAAATGCTAGCACTTCTCTTTGGACTGTAGCAATTTAGATTCTATGTGGTAAAGAATATATAAAGAATTGAGATAAAATACAGAAGAAATACAAAAGGAGGGCATTGGTATGATATTTGAAGATGAGATTTCTCTTTTCATCTTGGCCACCAACTGTAAGACCTTGGACAAGCTGTGCTTTTTCTGTCTGTTTCATCATCTTAGAAAGGGGGGCTAAAGTCAAATAACCTCATGACCATGGTCTTCAAACTTTTTATTCAAATTCTCCTAAAATAAAGTGAAAACTCTTTAACATGTTTTAGATTTGAGATAGATTTTTAAAAACATTAGAGCCTCCTGTGTATCCTAATCGGCAAAGTCAGCACTCCTAATATATTTTTTAATTTTCTTCTACTCAATATTCTAGTTGGAATGAAAGGTCTAAGAATTAAGTGTTGGCTATATGAAGAAGTCATATGGAGTAAAGAAATAAACATTCTGAGAATATAAGCCCAGATTTTTAAAAAGCCATTTATTTTAAAAAACTGGTTTGTCAAATCACATACATGAGCAGATACACACTACCAAAGTGGCCCTGTAATAGACACCAGTGGGCGTTCACCACACAGTACCTGAAAAATACAGCTAAAAAAGAGGAGTCTGTTAAGTATTTAATCTCAGATCCCTACTTGACTCCTTGTTGAATGGCTTTAAATTAGCAGACAGTGAATGAGAGGTAGAGTCCCAAGTATAAGATCTGATGCCTCAGGGCTCCATTTAAAAACAAAACAAAAACAAAACCAATTTCCCCCCTCTGCACAAGGGAAGTCTATCCTAATTTTTTTTTCCTTTGTGAAAACAGAAGCCAAGTTTCTCCTTCCAAATGGTTCAGCATTCCCAATCAAAAAGTTCTGTGTGGCGACCTAGATATTGTGCTTTGCTGAGGATCTAATTCTCCTCACCTTCCGATTCAGATTCTAGGAGAAAAAAAACAGAAGGAAGAATAAAACATTTTTCCCCAGATGATTTTTCAAATGAGGTCATGAAAGAGTTTCTAATAATAATAATTTTAAAGAATGTCCTTTGTCCCACATAAAAGAAACTTTAATCCTAGACATCCATTTCTAAGATAAGACAGAGAGTTATGAGAGCAGATAGGAACTTTTTGCTCCTTTTTGTCTTTCTGAAAATATAAGAGGCACATGCATAGTATTAAATACATATATTATTCTTTTGGAGGGAGCTCAAGTGGCCTTGTGGCAAGAAGCTGCATTGCAATCCTGAAAGCACATGATTGGAGGCCTCTGGCTACTCTGCAGAAGAAGGATGGGCAATCTCCTCCCATGCAATTAATCGCCTCTGAAAACCCATTAGAAAGTCAGCTGCTATAGGTTGGTTCCAACTCCACATTACACAACAACAACAACAACAAAACCATTTTAAATATGTGTCAACTGGTGAAAGGTATGACGAAAGCCTACATAATCCCATAATACATGATTAAATCAGATGCATTTTACTTTTCTTTTACATTGATTTGAGGGGGAATAATTTAAGAAATTCCTCCCCTCCATAAAGCACATTTTAACAAAAATGGTTGAAAAAGAAGTGCCCTAAAAAAAAAAATCTTACCTGTAAAACAGGTAGTATAGTAAGATATTATTTGCTAGATGATTGCCAAATTTTAAATAGATTCATACCTTCTTCTGCGTTTTGTAACCATTCAACAAATTTCTTCATCTGGTCAAGAAAAACACTTTTGCCTTTGGCAACATGTGCTTCTTTATACCACTTCAATATCGCTTCTTCACTCAGGACGTCAGCTGAAATTCCAAGGAGAAAAGATTTCAAAGTTAATCCATAATTGTTATAGTTTAAGATAGCTTCAGACCTAAGAGCCTATAAAATCCCACCATTCTCTTTTAATTTAAAAAGAGCTAATATAGAAGAAACCCATACCTGAAGTTAGTCATTATTTTCATGGAGCATGGGACTGATTTAGTGGTTAGCTCAGTAAACATTTTTAGTGACAATATAAATCTCATCAAGCACGATTTCATGGGAGCCTCTAGGTCACCACCAGGATGTGGAAATCTCTAACAGTGCTAATTTTGCTGGTAGGAAGTAGAGTTATTTTGTAATTTTGCAAAAGAATCAGCAACTCCAGCATTTGAGAACATTCATTGGGCCTGGCAAGTTCAACCATATCTTGATTAAACAGACTCTTCAGATAAATAGTCTGTCAAAGGGATTTTTTTTGGTTTGTTTTTAGAAGAAAATGGCAAATTTTTTAAAAAAGTTGTTATTTGCCGTGGAGCTGCTTGCGACTCATAGCGACCCTATGTACAACAGCTCTAAACTCTGCTCTGTCCTGTGCCAATCTCACTGTCTCCGACACACTCATCCCGATTGCCCCACTCACTGAATCAATCCACCTCCCCTCCTGCGCCTGCCCTCCACCCTCCCAAGCACGATGTCCCTCTCCAAAGACCAATCCCTCCTTACAACATGACCAAAGTATGTCAGACAAAGCCTCAGAATCCTTGCCTCTAAGGAGCAGCCAGGTTTAACCCTCTCCAGGATGAATCTGTTTGTTTTCTTAGCAGTCCATGGCACCCCAGCACTCTTTTCCAATACCAAAGCTCAAAAGTATCAATTCTCCTTCTATCCTCCCTGGTCATTGTCCAGCTCTCTGACGCATAACAAGTGATTGCAAAGACCATGGCCTATACCAGACACACCTTAGTCTCCAGAGACACACCATTGCTCTTGAGTTTATGTATAAAGATAGCTTTCTGGGCATGCTGTTGGATCAATAAGTACACCCTGAAAAATTTCTACCAATCCATTTACTGAAAATCATACAGCATAATATTTGAAGAACAGGGATAATTCATTTCTTTACTTTATAAAGAGAAAACCTGAGGCACATTATATTTTCTACAAGTTCTTCCTAAAAAATATGCTGCTAGCTCAAAGTCTACATTTCACAAATTTTCCTAGATACCCTGGGGTTACTATTAATTCACCATTTTTAACGCTATGAATAGAAAGAGGATTATGCAAACAACAGCCTACATACTCATCTAAATGGGTTTTCTTTTGGGATTTGGGAGCAGAAAATGAGATGGCAAACAGATAAAAAGAGTTGTGATTGTCCTCAAAACCTGCTCAGTCCATTATAAATGCTCACCAATCCATGGGAAGCAGTTAAATCAATCTAATGATGTATTTGTAGATCAAATGCAATTTTGACTTAGGAAAATGAGAAAAATAACCCAGTACTGTTCTTCAAATATATATTTGATGAATGTAACATCACTGGCCTTTTCCTAACAAAACCCTTTAGGTTTTCTTTCTTTTTTTTTTTAAAGCCAAAACAAAACCCCCCCAAAAAACCTGGTTTTTAGAAAAGGCTTCTGGATTAAGCTGAACCAAATGAATTGACTAAAACTGAATATGATTTATTTTAGAAACTATTATAATAACTTAAAAAGGATTATTTTTTTTTGTTTGCTCAAGTTTTATCAGTTATGGCACATTTTGCAAAAGGAAGAGGAAACCTGCTTTTATGAGTTTATAAGGACCAGATACTACAGCTGTAATCAAGAATCCTTTAGGGAGCTCTGATGGCCTAGAGGCAAGAAGCTGCATTGCAATTCTGAAGGTACACCTGAAGATACACCGTCCAAATCCTCCGGCTGCTCCACAGGAGAAGGATGGGCAAGCTCCTCCCATGTGATTAACTGCCTCTGAAAACTTGCTGGAGGGTTAGCTATGCATCAGTTCTGACTCAACTGGTACACAACAACAACAATAGAGTTTTTGTTGTCTTTAGTTTCTCACTCTCCCCTCAGAATGATGAGAAACTTCACCACTCACTTGCTATCAAAGCCCACCATTCACAAAAGAGGTGTGGAGGAGGCAGTTTACAGTCTGTGGTCAACCATGGAAACAACTGGTTTTGCAAGACATCTCAGGAATATTTCAAGAACATTAGTTAGAAGCAAAGGGAGTTCTGGTGGCTTAGTGGTAAGGAGTTGTGCTGACAACCCAAAGGACCATGGTTCAAACAGACCGGCTGTCCATGGGAGGAAGACGGGCCATCTCCTCTTGCCTCTAAAAACCTGCTGGAGGGTCAGCTATGAGTCAGTTCCAACTCGATGATACATAACTACAATGATTACATAAATGTGGATCTTGCAAGCCCTTTACATAACTTCAAATTATCTTATTAAAACAAAATAAAAACCAAGCTAAAATGTTTCCAAAAACCAAACTTCCAGATTTCATGATAATGCATCCTTCTTAGTAAGATGGTTCTGAGCCAGTGCCCCCACTAATATGTATTTTTAAGTTTATAAATTATATGCCTATACTAATGAATGTTATTTTTGTTATAAAATAAATGAAATTTTTAAAAATATATTTTTTAAAGGGCCATCTATTTTTTCCTTTCCTCTAAACCTTAATGGATTAGAGATGACACAAAGGACACCATGTAAAGCTGCTTAGGACAGCAATTCATTCATCCTATTTGAAATTTTTCCTTCTGAAGGTCGAGAGCTCATTTCTGAGCTGTATTGCCCCACAGAGGCAGAAAGAGGCTATGCAACTATAAAAACGCCTGTCGGTGAGGGCTCTTGGAAGCTATTAAATGTCTGGAGGTAAAGGCATCAAATGCATTGCCCACAGAAAACAACACTAATTGTTTTATGTACATGCAAAGTTGAGGTCTTCATAGTTAGGACTACAATTTAGTAATATAAATACTTGAGCATTAATGAGAAGACCCCATTTCTGACACCAGCAAACAAATATTTATAGTCTAATAAGGAAAGAAAAGGAATAACTACACATACACATTTATGGGGCAAAGCATGACCATCAAAAAAGTTAAGAAGAAGTAGCATTTGTCTAGTGAAAAAAGTTTTGTCCAGCAAGAAACTACTTGATGAGGAATTAGCAATCTGAATGAAGAAAAGGTTGCCTTCCACATCCCTAGTTAAGAAGTAGATAGGGCAAGGTTCTCATCTATTGTTCATAGTGTTGGTATGAGTTGTAGTTGACCGAAACAGCACCTAACAATAATAACATTAAGGAATTAATTATAATTGGGAGAGCACTAACGTTTTGCTCAGCTCTTCCAGAAATGACTAACTTCAATACAGACTATAAATAAACATAGGGAGGTTAGAATCTATATTATTCTATCTGACCAACTTTAAGGCTTCTAGTGAAACACTTGTGTCCTATGATAGACTTTCTCTCCTTATAAATCAGCATCAACTGAGTCAGATGCCTTATCTCTGCTTCTAATCATACCCATATGAGCTTACTTTGACAATGGTTGTAACCACAATTTTCTTTCTATTCTCTAAAGCTCTATAAGCTAGTCATAATTTCATCCATCACCTCATTTCCTGCACTTAATGTAAGACCCTCCATATAGTATGGATTCAATAAATTTATAGCAGGCAGATTATTAACTTTATGAAGAAAATTAACTTCTATTATGTGTAGAGTTCTAATTTAAAATTTCACATGACAGGAAGATCACAAGATTCTTAAAGTGGTTTGAAGATCGGTTAGATCAATATGCCATGAGCACATAGCATTCAGTATATATTCTAAAATAGAAATGTCACATAAAAACAGACAAAAATAATTTATCTTAGTTACGTTGAAAAAATGAGTCAGAAGGGCGCTCATTTCTTTTTAGAAGATGGAGAAGAAACTGCTTTTAAAAAATCTTGCAGGCGAGACAGAATTTCAACCTAAGAAATTTAAGCTTATACAGTAACTCACAATAGAGATACCAAAACTATACATGAGAAGGCAGTTTCATATCTTTTAGACTTGCATAATGAGAATATAGCATTTATCTTCAGAAAGAAAAATGAATGTGATATTTGAAAGTTCATTCTGTCTATCTATCTATCTATCTATCTATCTATCTATCTATCTATCTATCTATCTATCTATCTATCATCTATCTATCTATCATCTCCCCCTTTCTGCTTTGTTGTACATGCTGTCAAATTAGAACCGACTCCCAGCTGATCCTCCAAATCACACAAGAGGAGATTGTCTATTTCCTACTGAGCAGCTGGTGGATTTGAACCACCTGTCTTTTTGGCAGTGTTAATTCCTTATCCATTAGGTTATTAGAGCTTTAGAAATATGTATTTTCCATATTTTAATATAGAAAGTGAGTCCTCACTGTGACCAATTTAAACCTTTACTAAAAATAATTATCTACAGCTTGTTTATATTTATTGTACTGATTTAATTTAAAAATGTAAAAATTCCAGTTCTAATCCACCAGATACGGTGCTGGAGAAGGAGGGACAATCTCCTCCTGTACCAGTCAGATATGATTTGACGGTATGTGCACACACAAAATAATAAAATTAAAAAAATATTTAAAAAATGTAAAAATTCTTTCCTTAGCGGTGTTTATGTAATACTTAGTAATTAAGTTTGTAGAAGGGACACATGTAATTGTACCCTCAAGTTTCTGTTAACTTTATACTCTGGAAATATGAGGAAGGTGCGTGTACATGCACACTCACACATGAGGGAGGTTTACATTTGTTTTAATTTTTATAATCTTATTGAAGAAAAATACGTACAAGCAGTACCTGACTAATGAACCTTCGTGTTACAGTACCTATGAGCACATTCAAGATTGCTGTCTTATTTTCTTGCTGTTCATGTTCTTGTTAGTAACATGTACTACCTACATAAATGTGGGGAAATCACACAAAAAACCAGACGCACACACTTGTGCTCATGCTTGTGTGTGTGGGGGGAAATGCAC